ATTAATGATTTAGACTTTTTCACCTGACATGTGTTGATCTAAACGCCTTGATAAATGAAGCACAAAGACAGAAAGCGTGAGGAAGAAGTGTAAACCCAGGTAGATACTGAATGGAAGCACACAAGTTCAAGGGTGATGTAAGGCTGTCCCCTGGGACCGGGAGAGGAACAACCTCCCCATTAGCATCATGCCCAGAAGATGAACACCTCAAACTGACTCATTCATTGACGGGTTCCTGGAAATTGAGGAAAAAATGCAAAGTGTAACCCAGAAATGTAAGAAGCCAGGCAAAACGGTAGTGAACTTATTAAAGAAGGCCACAGAAGCCAAATACAAAAGTGCATTTAAGAATCAAGATCAACAACTGCCAGACAGGGAAACACAAGCCCCTCCCACCCTACCTGCCCAACCTCTTCCCCCCCAACACTGGAGCACTGTCAGAAGCGAGCTTGTCTCTGGTCTGAAAACACGAAGAGGAACTTGCCCGCTTTCAGCCCTCACAGATGAGGTTTTCTCCAACTTCATCCCCCCGATTCCCCGTGCCCATTTCTACAGGTACTTTACTGAGGAACCTGGTCATCTTCACCCTGCGCGAAATTCACCCCGGGAGTGGTCTGTCTCGATGCTGGAGTCCGTCTGGCCCCCTTAATTCAAACCATGAAATGAGAGGGGTGGGAGGCTAGAAGAAGTCCACCACCTAGGGTGGGGGCGGGAGTAAGAATGGCACACAAGATGAGTTTTGTTTTCATTATTGATTTTTCATTTCAGGTTGATTTAGCGAGAGACCAACTGCCTGTCATGAGAGTTAGTGGCACCTGAGTGGTCCCGCAGGGCACCGTGGAGATGGTGCGGCCTCTTGTGCGATTAGCCTTGTGCTATGGTGTTGCCAACTGATTTCTCCAATTCTCTTTTTCTCAGTGGCCTAGAACGTAGCTGATTAAATGGGCTGTGACTCACATAAGCTCCCGTGTCTTTTTTTATTGACTGCTTTATGGAAATGCATCACACTCCAAAGGCCCCTATTGTTGCTGCTGGATGTCGCTGACTGAGGCGTCCTGTTCGCACTGAGAGATGGAAGCCTCCTCGGTCGTTTTTTATTGCAGTTGGGGATGGTTGGGACAAAGGTTTAAAGGAAATCTGGATGAGGAGAGAAGGATGTCTGAGAATTTCCTTTATCTTCATCTTCCATGAAAGTTGGGTGGCCATCACTTCTGGGTAACAACTTCTCTGTTGATTGTATCTTTATGGTCCCATATCCTTCAGCTAAGTGAATCTTTTCTTTCTATGGGCTCTTCTGAGAGATTTAGTTAAGTGTAGTAGTAGAGAGAGATTATGACACTAATGTAAATCTGTTTTGTGCTGATATAATGTGATATACCCTTAGATTTATCCAAGAGGGCCATTTATTCTCAATAAATCTAAATCATTTCTATTTTTTTCATTAAGGTGGTGATATCTTTTCTCAGGTAATGGAACAAAAGCCTCTTTTTTTAATTGTATACTTAAACATAAATGTTTTTTTTGCCTTAAAATAGCAATTCATGCAATTGTTTGTGGCTTCTTCCTGTTTTCATTATCATCCTGCAAAGTATTTACATACTTTGTATTTTACACTAAATGGTTCTGCAGATCTGTTCATTTGCCAGCAGGTGTAGACTCAGCTTACAGGACCCCTCCTGCCTCATTACCCCAAAATCAACATAGTGCATGGTCAGGACCACCAGTTCTTGGCCAGTGGGACCCAGAGCTGACACAGAGAAAAGGGTTTGATTGTCACAGTGCTCGACCTTGATGGTCACAATACTCAACCTTAATTGTCTGGATTCTTCTCACAGATCATGGAACTAATGAAATTGAGCTCAGAGTCAACTTTACATTGAGAATAATTCTTGTTTTTGTAATTACCATCCAGGTCCTTGTGCATTGATTTGATTTGATTTCTTTTTTTTTTTTTTCTATAACCATTCCAAACTTCACCTACAATCCCACTTTTTCAATTGTCCTTAAGGGAGATCAGACACCATTAATGCAGATTTCCTCTACCTCAAACATCTTACCAAAACACAGCGATAAAATATTTTCCATTCTGTCATACATCATGATCTTGTTGGTGAGGGACCAACAAGAGAAAAAAATTCAGCAACACTTTCAGGACCCAATTTTAGCAAACTCTTGTGACTCAGGGAAAGATGATGGGAAGAGCTGTCCCTTTGATCCTTGAATTACTGACTCGGAGTTCAAACATCTCTGCTACAAACATCTCTGCTACACTATGTTTTTGTTTTCTTGGTGGTGGCATTCTTGGGTTTCCGTTTGTGGGGAGTGAAAAGCCTCATGCTGATAATGTACTGAAAGTAAATGAAATTAAATAAGCGAAGCAGTGCTCATCACTACTTCCTTCCCCCCTGGGTAATTCAATTCGAGCTCTCTCTCTGATGGCAACTCACAGGGACTGTCTCTGTCACCCCGCTGGGGCCTGGAGTCTTAACATCTAAATAAAAGTTTCACTCAAGCATTTTTTATGCTCCTGCCAGCAGGATCAGTGAGCTGGTGCAGGCACATTAATGTAATATTCATACGCACAGACTCTCCCTGCACACGAGGCAATGTCTTCCTATTTTCATAATTATAGATGTTCCATAAAATGGCATTTAGATTTGCATTAAAAAGGGAGGTTTGAATTCTAATAGAACGTTTAACATGTCTTTTATGATTCAGACTCTCGGCATCTTTAGCAAGAAGCTGTGTCTCTAAGTTTAACAAGACCCTTTTTAAAAGGGGGAAGGAAAAAAAAAAAACACTGGGAAGAAGTGATGGGAGCTCCAAGCTTAGGGAACCTGTTTTCCTTAACCCCTATGCTTTCATTTAATTTTTAGACCTCTAAGAGCACTATTTTGACAGCAGACAGAGAGAATGAGCTGTCCTGGAGAAGTCTTTGCTCCCAGCCAGTCCACCCTAAGGAGGATCTGACTGTTTCTTGGAGACCGTTTTCAGAGAGATGTTAGAATGTTCTAAAGGGGGGGAGCAGTGAAAGGACCTAGACAAGTGAACTTGCTTTACTGCTGTTCCTCTCACGCCTGCACCCTGAGACCCATCCAGAAGGAGTACGGCAGCCACAGAATTGACTCACTGCTAACTTTGCTTGTCTGGTGCGCCAACACACAAGGTGAAAACAGTCCATAAACAAGGGAGCTGACATTAAAGACAAATAGGATAAGGACTCAGGCACTTAGACATAGCTTAAAAAAGAAAAAGGTGATTTCCATCTACATGTTTAAAACTTAGTTTGAAAAGCTTAGAAGCAAAAGGTAGTTTTTGATTGCATTTTTAAATGTTAAAATGTTATTTTCAAACAAAAACTCTATAAAACACTGAGCAAAGCAGCAATCTCACAGTCACCACTGAGTAAATGTTAATTACAGTTGTGATTGAAAAAAATGATTTCACCTAAAAAAAACATAGGTGACCCAGTTGATTCTTAGCTGGTTATGCCTTACTTTGGTTTGCATTGTTTGTTCTCTAAATTTTTTAAGGCAAATCAAAAGAGATTTGGGTTTAGATACCAAAAAGATGAAATATTATGATGCTACTAGTTCACTTCGTTCATTGCTCCTAATTTAAAAACAAAGTGGTGTTTTTTAATTTTGTTATTTCCTTTCCTTTTCTCAGAAGTAAATTCCTTCCTCTTGGTCCTTTGCCCCACCCTTCTGTAAAATAAGTGTAAACCCCAATGTTGGAAGATAAATTGAGATTTTGGATTCTCAATAAATTTGTACCTAATGAGACTAACTGAAAGTCAAGAATGTTAGCAGCGTACAA